TTCCTTAGTTACCGAGTGCTGCTACGTTAGTGGATGACTTTAACCAACAGAAATTTCTTCTCTACATTTAGGAGGCTTGAAGCTGAATTCAGGGCACCATCTTTAAGGGAAGGTTTTCTCTCTGTGTGTCCATTCTAGGGGAAGGGCCCTGTTTCAATCTTCCCCTGCGTCTAGGAGGTTCTCAGCACAAGGACCCCAGGTCCAGAGGATGCACGTGCTCCCTGCTCTTCGTTCTTGGTGGTAATGAGGTCCTGTCTTCTCTGCTCACTTCTCTCTCCTTTTATCTCTTGTAAGATAATGATGATGCAGACCATACCCCCGAGAAACTCCCCTTACATTAGATCAGGGCTGTGACCTGAGTAAGGGTGTTACATCCCACCCTAATCGCCTTACAAGTGATTGGCTGATCACATCAGATCACCTCATGGGGGATGATTGCATCATTACATAACTGACAAATTACATCATTACATAACTGCAAAATCACAGAGAATCATGGCCCAGCCAAGTTGATACATATTTTGAGGGGATGTAATTCAATCCATGACAGGTATGTGGGGTTAGGAGAGTGGAGGGACCCCGTACAAAACTTGGTCAAGTCACTTCTGCTTCATTGCCTTTAGTTTACCATTGGGACAGTGAAGTGTGAATAGAAAAGCAGTACTAAAATTTGTTTTAGTGATGAAACTCCTTGTTCAAATGAAGTTGCACATGGAGGCCCATTGTGTTAATAGGAGGTAGAGATTTTGTTTTCTTTAAAGGGAACGGATCTGCCATTGTTTGGAAATATGTTTGAAAAATTGTTGATAGGGGTGAAGGGGCAGATTCCCCAATGTGGCCTGAATTTGCACCGAGACTTTGACAGGTAGACAAAACTGCTTTGGCTGATTGATACACATTATGGTTAGAGCTTGAAGATATTATGCTGAGCAAAATAAAACAATCGCAAAAGGACAAATATTATATGACCTCACTTATATAAAGAGACAAGAAAAAGTAAACATATAATTTATTAGTGGTTACCAGTGGTGGAAGGGAGGAGGAGAAGGGGGTTAACAGTGATGGAAAAATCACATTAATTAAGGGTAGGGTGGCACAGCTGATTATTGTAACAGCCGTCAACAAGTTGCCAACCCATAAACAGTTGAAATGGCAAAAGTTGTGTGACAGATATATTTACAACAATGACCAAAAAAAGAAAGAGAGAGAGAAAAAAAAAAGTAGCTGCTCAGGTTGCTTATATACAACCAAACACCTCATGAGATTTGGTTCTGTGGTTGGGAGGTTTGTTGTTGTTGTTGTTATGTGCCATGGAGTCAGACCTGACTCATAGCAACCCCTCCTTGGGTTTCTGAGGCAGTATCACTAAGGAAATAGATTGCCCAATCTTCCTTCCGAGGAGTGGCTGGTGGGTTTGAACCGCCAGCCTTCTGGTTAGCAGTCAAGTGCCTTAGGCACTATGCTACCAGAGCTCCTGTTATTTCCCTAAGACCCTTCAAAAGTTCTGATCACTCGGAATAAAATCCAAACTCCTGACCAGGCCTCTAACGCCCTGCACCACCTGCCCACCGACTGCCAACTCAGACTTCACCTTCTGTCGGCTCTCTCCCTCACTCCCCTGCAGCTACCCAGCTCTCCTTGCTGTTTCCAGATTCATCACACAGACTTCCCACTCAGGACCTTGGTACTTCCCCTTCTGCCTGGAGTGATCTGCGTTTCTCCCCATCTCTTCAATCAGGTCCCTCTCCACTTGTTGCCCAAGCAGAGAGGCCTTCCAGCTGAACCAGCATCCCCTAGCCTGGTCACACCCACAATTTGCATTCTTCTTCGCAGCCCTCTCTGCTCCTGGACACATTCTGCATTAACACATGTGTTTATTGTCCGACTCTCCTTGAGGACTCTCTTCCTCATTGCTGTTCCTCCAGCGCCTAGTACAGTGCCTCCACCACAGAGAAGTTCCATGAACATTTATTGAGTTGCTTTGCCAAGGGGACGGACGGGATGATGAGAGCATTCAAGTCGCCCTGTAGTAGTAGAAAGCTTTGGAAAGGTGTTGGACTTCCATAGTTTATAGGAGTGGAGATAGGGGGAGGTCATGGGGTGGATTATTTAATAAGGAAGGTAAGCATGGGGTTACTTGTGCTTACTCACTAATCTGTAGTGAAGAATTTCACATGTTTTTCACCACATGCAGAACTCTTCACTACAGATTAGTATGTAATCACCAGTAAACCCATGCTTACCTTGGTTACTGGGTACTCCGACCCTGTCAAAAACAAAAACAAAAACAAAAAAACACCAAACTCACTGTTATCAAGTCGATTTGACTCATACTGACCCCTCCTTGGATTTTCAAGGTGGTATCTCTACGGAAGTAGATTGCCCAGTCTTCCTTCCAAGGAGTGGCTGGTGCGTTTGAACCACCAGCCTTCTGGTTAGCAGTCAACTGCCTTAAGCACTACACCATCAGAACTTGGGGACTGTAAATTTGAAGATGCTTCGATTCTGTAGGAAGGTTGGGAGAGAGACAGATGCCAGTCATACCTAGAAGCAGAATCAGTGATGTGTGAAAAAAATTGTGAAATTGTTCATCACAGATTAGGAAATAAGCACAAGTAAGCCCATGCTTACCTTGCTAATTGGGTAACTCAACATTGGATGAGGTTTAAGGCAATTTAAAGTGGCCAGTAGACCCCAGCAGACACATGGGTTAAATGTAAAACATATCAAACTGGAGTTGATGAGAAGGAAGACAAGGTGAGGGCCTGGGGTCCCACTGCCGTTACCTTCTTCCTTCCGGTTCTTCAGTCACAGTATCAGAGCAAACTTCAGACTAGACAGCAGCCTTCCTTACGTCTGGGACAGACAGAGGATTGACCTCCAGACCCCTACCACCTGAAGAAAGGCATTTCCTGAACTCTGGAGCAGAGGTTGAGGATTTGTGTGGGGAACCCATGGACCCTTCTCCAGGCGGTGGATAAGTCTCTGGATCTTCCCCCTAGTGTAGGTGCAGGCGAATGAACCTACGGCAGACCTGGGGGCCCTCTGTCCTGGGGGCTCTGGATGTATCACACCCGGAAATATGAGGGTGTTCTCCCAAGATGTTCATGCCAGACCTCTCTTTGACTTTCTGTGTTTGGTCAGACTGTGTGGTATGTCCCTATAAGGAATAGGAAAGACACACACACACACACACACACACACACGATAGTGAGGGGGAGAAAAGGAGAGAATCACAGAGAACTCGGGAGAGATGCAGAGACAAAAAGGAGACAGAGACAGAAGGAAAAAGGCATGGAGGGAGGGAATGACGATAAAGACAAAGCTTCAGAATGGGAGATTGGGGGAAAGGGCGACATAAAAGAGAATGAGGTAAGAAAAGCAAACAGAGAGTGGGCAAAAGACCCAACAAAACCAAAAGGCTGGAAGGGAGTAAATGTGTGTCAGCAGGGGATGAGGAGAGGAGAGGGAGGACAGGGGAGGGGAGCGGACAATGGCACCCTGCGCTGTTGCCCAGCGTCACTCCCGGAATCTCACCACCCAGGAATCCTGCCCTGTTTCCGGCTCCTCAGGGCATGGCTCCCTTTATTATCTGGGATGGGTGCTTGGTCCCAGATGGTGAGCCTGTAAAGAGGTGGGGTCCTGTGAATGCTAACTATTAGTCATTAATAACTGAGGTTCATTATGCTGGCCCCATCTCTGGGTTCTTAGCCTTCTCTCAGTTTGGAAGGACCTGCTGACTCAGAAGGGTCAAAGAGGCAGTCCCAGAGGGGTCAGGCAATAAGACTCAGGGGTCTGTATTAGGGGTTTTAAGTCAAGAAGAGTCCTGGAAGAGAAGAATCCATGACTTTAGCCCTGGGGAGATTTCAGACCTCAGGGAAGGAGCAATTGCCTGGATGGGCCATCTGAGGACAGAGGCTGCAACCCCAGGAGAAGTCCACTGTGGTGCCCATTCTGTGAGGGTAATTCTGGGGCCCAGGAATCCTGAGGGCCCAAAGGAGGACTTGTATACACTTAACTCCTCATCTCCCCATTTGCCCATTGACTCTATCTGCTCTTGGGAAGAAGAGGCTCTGGTGGTGTAGTGGTTAAGGCGTTTGGCTGCTAACCAAAATGTCAGTGGTTCAAATCCACCAGGCACTCTGTTGAAGAAAGATGAGGCAGTCTGCTTCTGTAAAGATTTGCAGCCTTGGAAACCCAGTGGGGCTTTCTATGAGTTGGAATCAACTCAATGGCAGTGAGGTTTTTTTTTTTTTTTTTGGTTCTTGGGAGGAAGGATCTGCTGGTGTTCAATGTCCTACAGCCCCAAGTTGCCCTTCTCAAAGAGGAAAGATTTGAGGAGGGTCTGACAGACTGAGGGTCGACAGATGGATGGACAGGGCAAAGGGGAAAAAAGCAAATACAGTAAAATATTAACTGTAGTAGAATCTACATGGTGGGCATATGAGTGTTCATGATCTAATTCTTTCAACTTTTTTATATGTTTGAAATTTTCATAATAAAATATCAAAAGAGGGAGAGAAAAAATTATCTGGCAAATAGTCTGTACTCCCAAGTATAAGGCATTAAGAATGAAACCGTTTTCTGTGAGAATCTATACTTCAAATGCCTGAAGGGGCACAGTTCATCCTGAAAGATGGGATTCCAGGTGAGAACATTTGCAGACCATTGAGGGGAGGGAGAACATTTTAAGAGCCCCTCGGGTTACCCAGAGGTAATTAGCCATTTTGTCTACTTAGGCATTTAAGCTAGTGATCTTTCTCAAGTTTATTCTACCCCTCCTGATTTCTAGGACTTGGCCCAGAATAGACCCCACCCTGCCACGTATAACCTTTACAGGAGGGACAGGATAAGATATTCCAGACCCTGCCTGACACCTGATCCTAAGAGCTTGACCATGTTTGCTCAGGAGGTGAGGTTCACACGATAAAGAGCAGAGGGAGGGCTTGGAGCTAATATAAGAGATCTGGGAGTTTCTAGGGGTTACTTTGCACCTGAAACTGCCAGGTGAGGGGTGACAGGCCTGGGTTAAGTGGGTGACCAGGAAGCTTGGATCTGAGTTGGGGCAAATTCAAGCCTGAGCAGGAGAGGATGTCTGGATTGAGTGACAGGGGAGACCTGAGTGTGTTAAATAGGGCACATGGACCTGAGATTGTCTTAGCTGCAAAGATATCTGGGTCTCAGCTGAGGAGCTGGAAATACCTGGGATGCTCAGGGGAGTGGAAATGGTCAGATTAGTGTTGGGGAGAAATAATTATGAAAAATAGATCAGGCACCTAGGATCTAATGTCTTCAACTGGTCCCAGCTCCTGCAACTTCTCAGTCTATCCCACCAGAACTATTTGGCCACTGGTATTGGCACAGTCCCTTCTAATACCACCTTCACCCCCTAGGTGACATGGAGGTATCTCTAAAATACTCCTCTCCTGAGTTGAGACCAGACTGAAGATGGGGATTTAAACTATGACCCAGATGACTCAAAGCCAGGCCAATCTTGTGGCAGACTTCAGTTAGGTTTTGCTCAGACTCTGGCTTCCGTCAACTCAACTGTCTCTATGCTTTGGTGATGTCCTTCACTTCTTCTGCAGAAAATGCCTTTCCTGTTTCATTCCAGGAAGGAATGATGATTGCCACATTTCACCTAGATAGAAAGTTATTGCTCTTCTGGGCTGGGAGGGAAGGAAAGGGGTTGGCTATAGCCAGACCAGGGAGAGCTGAAGGACGTAAGGACACAGACAATGGTGTCTGGGAGCAATGGGGCCTATAGACAATGCTCTCTAAGCCCAAGACTGGGTCTGCTAGGTCTAAGTTGAAAGACCAAGAAGCCTGTGTCTAAACTAGAGGTCAGGAATGCCTAGGTAAAAAGTCCAGAGGGAAAACAGTCAATATTCATTTTGTTCTTCCTTCCCTCTCCAGCCCCAGAATGTTGACTATTGCTCTCCTAGCCCTCCTTTGTGCCTCAGCCTCTGTCAATGCCAGTAAGTGAGACACCAGGGTCATGGGAAGACAGCCTCCTGCACTGCTGGTGGACAAGGCGGTCAGAGAGTGTCTTAAGGGTGGGAACCGAGTTATGAGAGAAATTGGGGTGGTATGGAGAAACCAAGTTCTCGGGGGATTTCTCCTTCCAACTCCTATATTCCTTTCCAGTCCAGGCTCGGTCCTCCTCCTACAATGGTGAGTACGGAGGTGGTGGAGGAGAGCGATTCTCCCATTCTGGCAACCAACTAGATGGCCCCATCACCGCCCTACGTGTCCGTGTCAACAGATACTACATTGTAGGGTAAGGTTCTTTGGGTTTCTGTGGTTTGGGGACCTTCTGAAATCTTACTAAATTGGGAAGTTGTCAGTCACTTTGAGTCACATCCATTTCACAATGAGTCATAGGGGTAACATGATATGGTAAAAAGAAAAGTTAGAGTTCTTGGTGTAGACCTGCGTTCTACAACCGCTCCAACCCCAACATGCATGACCATGAGCAAATGATACAGTCATAAACTCCCAGGGGCCTGGAAGTTGTCTCGTTTAGCCCCGACCCAAGGCTTCAATTATCTCTGGAGCCATCCTCCAACTTTGCTTGATGCCTCTCCTGAGATATTCCCATTCTGTTGATATAGTTGGAAAATTCTATCATGCAGAGCCAAAATGTGTCTCCTTCTGATCCTGGATCTGCACCCTGGGACAGCACACATATTTGTTTCCTCCCTCTTCCATTTGTTTTAAAAACCACTTTGCTTCCTTCCAGTCCAGGGGAGGGGGGTAATGGGAGTCCAGACTTCAAATTCAAACTCTGACATGTGCACTCTGGGTGACTCTGGGCAAGTGGTTTTCCCTCTCTGAACCCATCTCTTGGTTGGCAAAATCAGGAGATGAAGTTCCCTGTATGGTCAGCAAGGGCTCATTCAACCCTCACGTTCTGTGGGGCTGGCAGGAGACTTGTGACCCCGTCACCAATTTGAAGGTCTCGGCACGCAGACCAAGAGGTCTTGAATTCTGATCACCCTTCTCAGTGTCTCCCTTCCTACTCTCTTCACCTCTGTCCCCAGCCTCCAGGTGCGCTACGGCAAGGTATGGAGCGACTATGTGGGTGGCAGCTCAGGCGACCTGGAGGAGATCTTTCTGCATCCTGGGGAATCAGTGATCCAGGTGTCCGGCAAGTACAAGTACTACCTGAGGAAGCTGGTCTTCGTGACTGACAAAGGCCGCTACCTGCCTTTTGGGAAAGACACAGGCACAAGCTTCAATGCTGTACCTTTGTACCCCAACACCGTGCTACGATTCATCAGTGGCCGATCTGGCGCCCTCATCAATGCCATTGGTCTGCACTGGGATGTCTACCCCAGTGATTGCAGCAGCTGCTGAGCCCCAGCTTCCTGCTTCAAAGCTGCAATGGAAGTGTGAGCACTCCCTAACCACTAACCCCATTCAACGGCTCAATAAATGGATGTGGCTAAAGCTAGTGTGTATGTGGGTGTCTGCAGCTGGGATCCACCACTGACCCTGGGCATGGATGTAGGACTCGCTTTTCTGATGGCAATCTGGGGAATAGTGGGACAATGAGGGAGAGAGGTGCTGTGTGAGGGGTCCGGGCTTGTTTTTATATTTTCTCAAGAGGAGGTAAGATTCTGGCTTCTACCAAATCTTTTTTCAAGGCTATCTCTGGAGAATGTTTACCCAAATTGGAGTTCTGAGGCTGATGGTAAGGCCCAATTGTGGCTTATTACCAAGACCCCAGATGTTCCACTCTCAGCCTCTCCTCCCTACTTGGCCTCCTACTGAGGAAGCAGTTCTCTGCCAAAAGGCTGTCACCTCACCCTCCTTGACCTTAACCTATTTGCTGTCTGTGAGTAGTCTGGACCATTATCTTTTGTTTTCCCAGAACCTAACTGACTCCTAGGGAGCTCTGGAATTTAACCTCAGTTTATGCCTGAGAACTCTGCCCTGTTCCCCCAGCCTAGTTCCTCCCACCCTTACCCATGTTGTTGTTATGTGCCATCAAGTCGGACCCAACTCACAATGACCCCTCCCTGGGTTTCCCAAGGCGATATCACTAGGCAAGTAGATTGCTCAACCTTCCTTCCAAGGAACAGCTGGTGGGTTTGAACCACCAGCCTTCTGGTTAGCAGTCAGGTGCCTTAGGCACTACTCTACCAGAGGTATCCTCGCTTATCTCTCTCAGAAATGGAATTCTTTCCTTAGGAAGCTACCACCCCCTCAACAGCCCTATGTTCTGCCCACAGCAGCCTCAAGAAATGAGGATTTCCCTCACACATCGATATGACCATAAAGAGTTGGTTAGAGTTCAAGTGACTGGAGAGATTTGGCCAGGATATGAAGTTTCTTTAAACTAATTCTTAGGACTCTAGTTCTCAGCCCTAAAAACTTCTGATGGTTTTCTTTTTTGGGGGGATGGTGATGGTTACTCATTGCTCCCAACGGATTTATCCATGTTACAGGGAATGTCAGTCTCATTTCTTCCCAAAGACAAAGAGACAAAGAGAACAGTTACATGCATATAACTTTGTAAAGAAATACTAACATCATAGAAACAAACTCATGATGAGCCTGTTTTGATAACAATTCCTTAATTCCCTCAATCAATTCTGTAGAATGGAATATTATGTCATTGCAATTTTTTCTTTTGAGGTGTAATAGATATATCATTAAATTCACTGTTTTAAAGTACACAAGTCAGTAGTTTTTAACATATTCACAAGATTACACGACCATCACCACTTCCTATTCCAGAACATTTTCACCACCCCCAAAAAGAAACCCCATATCCGTTAAGCAATCACTCCTTGTCCTCTTCTGCCCCTGGCCTCTGGTAATCATTTGTCTCTGTGGATTTGCCTGTTCTGGCCATTTCACACAGATGGAATCATAGAAGAGGTGGCCTTTTGCCTGGCTTCCTTCACTTACCACAATGTTTTCAAGGCTCATCCATGTTGCAGCATGTACCAGTGCCTCCTTCCTTTTTATGACTGAATCTAACAGCTTTTTATTTTGTTTTATTTTGCTATGTCCATGCCCTACCCCCAACCTCCCACTGCCATCCCTTTTTTTTTTTTAATTGTGATTTGGGTGAAAGTTTACAGAGAAAAATGGTTTTCTATTCAGCAATCCAGACACATTTTGTTTTGTGACATTAATTGCAATCTCCACAATGTAACAGCACTCTTCCCACTTCCTCTCTCTGTTTCTTATTTCCTTTTGGGTGAAGTATCTAGGTGCTAACCAAAAGGTCAGCAGTTTGAACCTACCAGCTGCTCCTCAGGAGAAAGGTGAGCTAGTAAATCTTCCATGAAGGTTAACAGTCTTGGAAACCCTATGGGGTAATTCTACTCTGTCCTATAGCGTTGCTATGAGTCGGATTGACTGATGGCAGCAAGTCTTTTCTTTCCTATCCCCTCTTGCCTTCTGAGTTTTACCCCTGGGCAAATCCTGCCCTTTTGACCTTGTATGGCTGATTGTTCTAAGGAGAGCTACCTCCTTGGTGTTACTGTTCACCTTACAGATCTGTCTATCATTTGGCTGAAAGTTGAGCCACAGGGGTGAGTTCAGTTCCAGGCTTAAAGGGTGTCTAAGGGCCATAGTCTCGGGGGTTCCACCAGTCTCTATGAAACCTGTAAGCCTGGTCTTTTTTCTTTCTTTCTTTGATTTTGAGTTTTGTTCCATAGTTATCTCCCACTCTATCCAGGACCTCCTATTCTGATTCCTTTCAGAGCATTCAGCAGTGGTAGCCAGGTACCAGGGAGCTCTGGTAGCGTAGTGCCTAAGGCACTTGACTGCTAACCAGAAGGCTGGTGGTTTAAACCCACCAGCCACTCCTCGGAAGGAAAATGGGGCAATCTACTTCCATAGTGATACTGCCTTAGAAACCCAAGGAGGGGTCGCTATGAGTTGGGTCCGACTCGACAGCACACAACAACAACAACAGCGAGGTACCATGTAGTTCTTCTGGTGTCAGGGTCGTGGGGGCTGTGGTGAATCTAACAATTTTGACATATCAGATGTCTGGTCAACTTCAGAATAGTTTCTAAGCCAATGATGTTCACTATGTGGCAAGTGAAGGTGCTAGCACTTAAGGCTGCCATGACAGAAGAAGACTAAGTGGTAGGATCCCTGGTTTTGTCTACTCCATATATTAAGTTTTTCCAGAAGATTTTGTTTGAGGGAAAGTTTCTCTTACCTAAAAAAAAAATTGTTATAAAATTGTGGAGTTGAATTATTCACACATTTATTGAACATTCCCTGCTAGAAAAATAAAGATTAAAGACTTGGTCATTGTCCTTATCCTATAACCAAATGGTTTTATTGCCGCTATAACAAAAGTTTTTCACAGGATGCTATGAGATTACAAAGGAGGATGTTCTGGTTATCTAGTGCTACTCTGACAAGAATATACCACAAATGGCATGGTCTTAACAAACAGGAGCTTATTCTTACAATTTGGAGGCTTTAAGTCCGAGTTCAAAGTGCCAGATTCTAGGCGCTGGGTGAAAGCCCCTCAACCTTGGGGTCCAGCTCTGCCACCTGCTCCCGGTCCACTGGAGCTAAAGGCTTTTTCTCATTCAGACAGCTGCTGGCTGCTGAGGCTGCCAAACCCAAGGTTGACAAGTAAAAAGGCACAGTCCCGATGTTACCGAACCACATGGCAGGCCATTAATTTAAGTCCATTGAAAGGTCAGCAGAACATGGCAGACTGCTGAACAATGATGGCTACATGCAGGGTCCAAGTGTGCCGTAAGCTAAAGACCATTCCCCAAGGCTTCTGCTTATACACAGGAAGCAGACCACATTCCCTAAGGCAGGTACTCAGCTGCTCCCAGTAGATTCCACCATGGAGTTGATTACCAGTCTCATCATGGGAAATACTACATCCAGCTGCCCAGCCATTCAACCAGGCCCAGACAAGTTGACACACAAACGGAACTACCACAGAGGGCAACTAACTAACTAACTTTCCCTAGGGATGTGTCTTAGTTATCTAGTGCTGTTATAATAGAAATACCACAAGTGGATACATTTAACAAATGGAAATTTTTCTTGTCACAGTTTAGGAGGCTAGAAGCCCCAATTCAAGGCACCAGCTCTGGGGAAAGGCTTTCTCTATAAATATCAGCTCTGGGGGAAGGTCCCTGCCTCTTTTCAGTATTTGTGGGCTCAACATCCATTGGAGATCTCCATGTCTTGACATCAATCTTCTCCTGGGTGTAGGAGGTTCTCAGCACAGGGACCCTGGGTCCAAAGGATGCACTCAGCCCCTGAGTCTTCTTTCTTGGTGGTCTGGAGGTTCTTCTTCTTTGCTTCTCTCTCCTTTCATATCTTGTATGATAAAAGGTGATGCAAGCCACAGCCCAGGGAAACCTCCCTTGCATTGGGTCAGGGACGGATCCAATGACCTGAGTAAGAGTGTTGGATCCCACCCTAATCTTCTTACAACTGATTGGCTGATCACATCATGGGGGATATTGCATCATTACATAACTGCCAAGCCACTGTGTGAGGAAGAGGCTGAAGATTGATTGATGAAACAGGTTTCAGAAGATAGTGGAGAGGATGTTTTATGTGAGTGCTGGAGGAGGAAAACTGAGAAAGGAGGGACAAAAATAAAGATGAGTGAAGGTGCAGGTTAGTTAGTGTGGGGAATGGTGGGTATGAAAAGTGTAGCTTCAGAGAATCAACACCTAACCTTTACCTGTGAAGTCTAATGTGGCATGATGACTTGTCTAAATTTCTGAGGGATAAGAATCAAGATCAGCACAAAGCTGGTTCCAATGAGGTGGAGGTCAGACATGCCTCCATTTTCCAACTTTTAACCATTTCTGACATTAACTGTTCTTCTCACAGCACTACCTACTTCCTGATGGGCTTGGTAATTCATTGTAAC